TATAACCATCTATAAGCAGAGAAATAACAGAAATAGCAGATATGAGTGACTCCAAAACAACCTTTAAAGCATTATATGGGAGCCTTTTAAATCATATGCTTAGATCTGTTGAAGCTCTATAGGGAAATTCAGGCCCTCTTTGAGTATTTAACAACAATTTTTCTTGGGATTAAACCTTCTTCAGTGTGAAAAGATGTTTTATTTGAATGATGCAAGAACAAAGATATTTGTAGAATAAAATGATCTCATTTCATTATACGATATTTCATCAGCTGTGAACAACCTGCTATTGAAATAAAATAGTACTAGTAACAGTGACATGACATACTTTAAATGTGTAGAAATAAAAAAAATTGACATTCAAGATTAACAGTAAGTTAGTGGATAGAGGAAACACAGGATTATTATTCACAAATCTTAGCCAAATCAATGACAATTTCTATCTCATGACATAGAAAACAGATGTAAGAATAAAAGCTGCACTGAGAAGCAGCTTCTCTGCCGCCAAACTAATCTCAGCCTACAATATAGGATGCTCAGTGACACAGTAAAAAGTAAAAAAATGCTCACTTTATATTACTTTCAGCTATTCACGTTATTTCACTTATGCTTTAGGAAGCAAGTACATGTGAGAGACTGAAAGAAGGGCGTCTACTTGATTTTATGAGTATGTTCCCAGAAATCTGTATCTGAAAGGTTCCAGAGTCTTTACCGGCGCAGTTGCCGGGCTTCTGATGGGTACAGGATTAGACAGATGTTTCTCAATTCTTCAGGATAATCAACAAACAAAGGAAATCTTTTCTATTACGGTTTTTAGAAGCTGTCGCCATCAAGCATATTCAATCTGACCTGTGTACTTAGAAAGAGAGTGTAACTGACCTTATTTTACATTGATAAGTGTATATAATTTTCGCATATCATCATTCCTCAACTAATTACTTACTTAACGTTAAACACACCTCAAAGTTTTTTAAGTTTTTCATATAGTTGAGTAACCTACTACCCCTTTGACAAACTCTTCTTTTACACTCCTGTCTATTTATTGTCCCCACTTTTTACAGCCCAAGGATTTTCACTCCCATCAGACAGGAACTGTCGTTGATTCTCGCTAAGATTTGCGATTATTAATTCTAATCCTCGACCCGCTACCTTAATGTTAATCTCCAATTGCACTAAGTAACAGATTCATGCATTATTGAGAGATTGTCAGAGGTATTCAGTTACAGACTTTAATAACTTAAAGATCCTCATAGATTATTCAGAACACGGAAAATTTAACCATCAGTTGTTTTCAGTAACTTCTTCTGCCTCGGGCTCTACAGTTAGGAATCCAAGAGAATAAAATAAGCAAAGCAACCAACTCATTAAAGTAAAATTATTTCCATATCGAAACAGTCAGTGTTATAGGTGTTGGAAGGTGACCAAATTAAATGGATGTAAATTTAGAAGTAGTATTCATCATGGACTGACATCAGTTGGGGAACCATTGAAAATCTGGGAGCACTGGACAGCTATTCCGTCCTAGTATGAAACTACTCAGCAGTCGATGTAAAATTTTATCGGATTGAATGGTAATCAGTCTAGTGTGTTACTTGTATAATGAAATCAATGTGGAAAAACAAATTACTAAATAAGGCGACAAAATCTAAAGATAATGATTCATTTTACTTACATCTATCTGGGGCGTGTGTTTGTATGCTTCTTTACTAAGGGTCAAATAATAATGTCATATTCAAGTAGGGGAAAACAGGTGAATGAAATGACGAAATAAAGAATAACAAATGTGGCACGTTTCGTTACGACTGAAAGTGACTACCAGTAGTGGTATGAATAAACAAGGACATAAAACTAATTACATTATCAATCTAATGACAATGTAGAAGAAAGGAGTGGGAGGTTAAAATGTGACATTTGTGGTGGGAAAGTTCACAAAGAACCTGTTGACCCCATTGTGGGCCATGGCATACAAAGTGGGTGTACATATTTCTTTTCAACTCATACATCAGGTTTTCTTGCGTCGATCCCTATGGTTTTGGCTATGGATAAGATGCGTAGTCATGCCCCTTGTAAGAGATTGCATGGGAAGCGATATATCACAGAAAGGGTGTGATCTACCTTGATCTGATGTCCACTATTGACTAGATACAAAAGGACTGCACTGTTGACTCACTTTGCCACTCCTTTTCCTAAACAAGCTGATATATGTTCACAAGCGTGCATGGATAGGGCTCTGGGAGCACAGCCTATGTCACTATCTCACCAGGAGCAGTTGAATTCATAGATGAACACTGAAGTGGCCATCATTGGTAGCCTATCCTTGGTTCTCTACATCACTTATGGTTTCGTTGAGAAACTGACAAAACATTTTGCTGTCATGAATGTCTTGTCGACTGATCTACTTAATCATCGTGTTAACATACCAGAGGCGGTATCACGTTAGAAACTTAGTGTAACATATAATGGCTTCTTAGCAATATTATTCTTCTTCATCTTCTCTCTAAGTCTCATCATGTAGTTACTTATGAAGTTTAGCTGATAACCATTTTGCTGTAATGTTATCTTTAGTTTATTCATTTCCCCTTCAATACAGTCATCAAAACATGTTTCTTATTCTGTAACTTATGCATTTGAACAGGTTTCTTTTACATTGAATTGGCGTGAGGCTGTAAGAATGTATACACTGACCAGTCCATATATTCTTTCCAAAAATATTCCTATTATTAAATCCATCCGTCCTCCTGGTGAGGAGGACATCTAGGAGGAAAATACCACTCCTCTGTTTCTCCTCACATATCAGCTTCATAGCTGGGTGGGTATTATTCAAGGTATTCAAAAGATCTTCTTCGTTGGGGTTGCTGTTACAAATGATGAATGTGTCACCTACATACCGGCAATAATACTCTAGTTTATCAAGTTTTTCCCAAAGTTGGGTTTTTTCAAGTTTGGCGAAGAAGATATTCTCTAGCATAGGATCAAGGGCACTTAAAGACATAGGCATTTCATTTCTTGTTGTGTATCATTAAAAGCTTACTTCCATGTATTCACTGACACTTTCTTTACATTTTGTTGTATTTTACCTTCATTCGAAGCCTAGAATATCTAACATTTATCTTGCATTCTTATTTGACTGAAGAAAGTTGAAATAAACTTTGACTTACTTGCATAAAAACCAATTAACATTTAGATAGAAAACTAGAGAAATAAAATGAGCTCATTTTACTCTGCAAATGTCTTTGCTCTTGCTTCATTCGGATTTGTCGAGCGGATTAAATGTAGGGCATTTTGTTGTCAAAAGGGTACACATATAAGATAACTGAAGACGGTTGCAACGAAAAAGTTTTCTTTCCAACGAAATCATTCTCTTCACTGTACATTCGTGAATGTATATTAGGAACGACAGATCACTCCAGAGTAACTCCTGACTGAAGGTCAAAATGAATTCCATAAGAAATGAAAGTTACATAATACACATAGGCATTCAAGGGAGATAAATAAATAAAATGCACAACTCCTTTCTGTGCCATGGCCATGGCAGATGATCGGTCACTACGGATAATTAACTTACGACCTAACTATGAGTTATTGTGCTGTAATTTGTTTATTTCTCTAGCATAAACGCCTACTACTAATATTGCGTAACTTTCCTTTGTCACGCTGTCTATACGGACCTTTGGCAGGGAATTACTCTGGAGTGTTTCATCGTCTCTACTACATATTCACGAATAAACAGTCAACAGAATGGTTTCGTTGAACAGGAAAGTTTTTCTTCACTACAACCATTTTTACTGTTTTACTGTAATTGAGTAAGCTTGTTCCACTATTTGAAAAAATGTATTGTCCAGTCCACCAAAATCAGAAACTACTCATTTTCCAGATAAAGTACACTGAAATCACCACAGAACAGTGTAACTGCTGTTAGATAATAGAATAATTTTTCGCGCATCATTTCGAAGATTGCACTAAGTAACAGATTCTTGCATTATTAAGAATGACTGGTAGAACCATGAGTAAACCGAAACAAATCTTCAAGTGGTCTATATACAGGTAGTTTACGTCTAATCAAATTACCATTTTCCCTTAACCCCAACTAAGTAATCCTGTTTACACCCTCAGTTGCTATCACAAACGTTTCCTATATACATTGTCGTTAAGCCAGCAGACGAACAAAGGTTCATTTGAATGCAGGAGATGATACATTTTATAAACATACTTCATCAACGATAAATAGGTAAGTAGGTCTATAAAATGCGGTAGGTATCAAGTTGTTCTAGGATTACCGTATAAAAAGTCTGCATTTCAAAATGCCTTTTTGAAAACTCAACGCTGATCACTTTATACTAATATGCTGTGAATTATGCCTAGGTGCAGAAATTTATCTCCGGGGAAAAAGTTATATCATTATTAGTCAATGTGTAGAACTAAAATTAATAAAATAGACTGCAAAATGCGATGAATTCTTTTTACTAAAAAGGATTTCCATCAGCTGCGGTAAGTAAGAAATAACTCGAAGATGAGCTCATCAAGGAAAAAAGTGTTAAATTTGTCTGAAACCTTCAATTCCAGACGATGTTATCTTGCGCGAAGCTAACCTGAACTCAATAAAATGAGGCACATTCTTCGTGCTTGAAAAAAAGTTTATTTCTGTTATTTTAAGTTTAACAAAGTGGACAAAATTTAACAGCTTTACTTGTCGATACATTATTAGACCAATCATAGCTTCAAAAGATAAAAGACCCACGAAATCTTGAGATTTTATCGATGAGTTTAAACACTGCTTTGATATATTTGGAAGTGTTCTGAAAAAAGCTAAAGTAGCTTCTTTTGACTAGCAAAAACAGTGAGATACTGACTCTGAGACCACGGTTGGAATACTTACGAGCATACCTTTTATGTGCTTAACACATTATTGAGTTAAATTCAACCTTACTTTCTAAAATGTAGCTTTTGACTGTTTGTTTATTCCAAAATCTCTTTCATTTCTCTCATATATTTGCAAAAAGGAGGTACAAATACGTGACTGTATTGACGCTTTCCTCGTTGTTTACGCTATTGATGATCAGAATAGTTTTGAAGCAGCCAGATTAATTATCAATGCATTGACACCATTGAATGATAGAAGGCAATTTTCAATGTTATCACCGAAGAAAATGAATAATTCCGTTACAACTCTACCTGGATTGATATATCTTGTTGCTAATAAATCTGATCTGGTTAGAGGCAGACAAGTACCGAGTGATGGTAAGTGGTTGTTTAAGCTTTTACTTTAAGAGGTTATGCACTGACTTCTGGTCTTATATTTCATACAACGATTCATTTTATTTCTCCCAGTTAGTTAGGCTCTGATCTTACCAATATCATCCATCACTGTACGATTCAAATGACCTGGTCCATCTTAGCAAACCTTTAAAAAAACTTCTTTCTACACATTTGCTATACAGAATCTGATTATAGGTGTAAGTCTGAAGTCGATGTTTTTTAAGCAATGGATAAGTATGTAAGTATAAAGTTTGAATGTGTTGTCAAGAAATGACACTATATCTACGGTTCACTAGTAATTCTCAGGTATATTTCTTACACTTGCGTTTTATCTAAACAAAAAAGTCTGACGTCATCAGGCTATCATCTCGTAATCAGAGAAATATCAATATCAACAAAATGAATCACTGATAACCACACGAACCTCCCTCGAAAATTTGATGATGAGGAAATAAACGTCCACTTCAAGGTTAAGATTTTCGTAATTTGATTAGATTAAATTGCTGCTCTCAGTTTACTGGATGACATAAATTCACTGAAGAATGACGTTAGTAATTCAGTCTCAAATCAATTACAACTGTAAAGTACGAAGAAGACTCACAAAAGTGGAGCGCAGTCATTTAACTGAGAAAATATGGCGGATAAAGTTGTTGATAAGAAGGAAATTTTTAAACGGTCTCAGATTGTTGTAATTTCCCGGGCTTATCTCAACCAGTAATCTAGACAGAACGTTATTTTTATTGACAGGAAAACAATCATAAATCTGGTATGAAATCCTGCAGTTCTGTCCTTACCCTTACTTATCCCCTTCATACTCAATACTTATTAAATGTATTGCTCTATGTTAGTATGTCATAAACGTTTTGTTATTCACCTGTTAGTGCACTTTGAAATATTCTTCTCAGTTTTGTATAAAGAGAAAATGGGACCTCTTGCTGCTTACAGTTATGGTTTTGTCATTCGTCTTTTTCTTGCTGCATCAATTTTAATCAGCTTTCGTTTTCTTCCTGATTAGTACCGTGTAAGTAGCAGCTGCAGAGTAAAGTCACCGTAGAACAAGATTACCCTGACCTGTGAATTCGGTCATTCTTGTTATCAGTAAACTTGTATTTGTACCCACCACATATTATAAAGGGAAATTTTTTTTGGATGAAATGGGTTCCACACTTGGAAGTAATGATCTGAAATATCGAATTCACTCAGTTTGTTCGACTCCTAATATCAGTTAGAAAAGTGCGACTTTAATTTTATGCGATCCTATGCTTCACGGGTGACTTTAAAAGCCATCCTAACAACAATTTAAACGACCAATTAGGTTTCACCATTTCGACTGGAAAGCAGATTTTCATAAAATAGCGAAGTCTAATTGTTTATTTCTTTATTGCTAGGGTGGTCTTTTAACTTCCTCATGCTTCATCAGTGATTGAAATCTGAGTGAGTCAGTGCTGTTAGGATGGTTTTTGAAGTCACCCTAAGTTAATCAGGTTAATGAATATAATGATTGCTAAGTTCAGGTTTAAATGAATATTCTGTTTACCCTTCATCATATATGTAATGCAAGTAGTATCAGCATATCTAATGTATACTCTATTAATGCTATTATATATATTAAAATGTCAGTTTTGAAATTTTGAGGCCAAGAATAAGTCAAACACAATGAACAGTGGAATGTGACGTGAATAATTTTAAAATCCAGCTTATCAAAACTTTATGGATATAGTTGAATTAGCACTAAGATTAAAACAGTACCACATCGAAACGTCACATGTGACTGACCAATAACTTGTTTGTAAATGACTTTTTAACTAGCTATTGAAATCGTTCATACCTACAGCATCATTTTGGTGACCTTCCACAACAGAATAAATTACATCCACTAAATACAGAGTTGAGGTGTTAATTAATCCGACATGTTGCACAGTAACGTTAGTGACAGTCAAACTTTCAGTTCAAAACACTAGACACTTAGAGTCACTACCATATGTTCAGAAGCGACTAACAAGAAGCTGAAAATTTGAGTTTTGTGGTTAATGACCCAGACCAGACGTATATGTATGCACCCTAAGAGAAACGTATACTCGTTCCAAGAATAAATCCACACACGTCAAAGTCGAAATCATAGAGATTACCATTCAGCTACCTGAAACAGTGACTGGAGTTTCCTCTGAGGTCACTGACAGTGTTTGATGACAAATGCTAATGAAACGAAGAATAAGTTCAGAACTCCACACTGATCATCTTCAGTTACCTGACAGAGAACCATTTATCGCTTTTTTCAGTCCGCTGACTCAGAAGTGATGATTTATGCCGAATGGAGAGAATCCAATCAATAATCAAAACCAATACAATGGTTTTTTTTCACAGACGCATCAGCAAACGAAGATTTTCGTGATAAAAATATGTAAAGAAACAGTAAAACGATAGTCAAAACCTCCCATTCCAATTTATAACAATAATGTCTAGTGTAGCATATGTTTAACGCGACAACAACTAATAATCATCCATCACTGAGCACTGTGTCCAACAGTGTTGCAAAATAACCGAGTAAAGACAATATAGCGAAATGTGCTACTTAAGAAAATGAGTTTTTGTAAACCAACCGCACTGTTCTGTGAACTTCGCTTGTAAAATCAGTGTCCTGTAGTTTATTCTGTTAGTTCACAATAAACATGTCTCAGAGATTAAAATTTGCTTTCTTCCCTCTGGATTCCTCGAAATCTAGTGGCCGTCATAGATGAATAGTTAAAATATTAGTCACTCGTGGAAATATAAACTTGAACCGTGAAATTCGTAAATAATTTTCAAAATGTTGATTCATTCAGAATAATGCGGTATCTAGTACTGACGAGTTCCAGGGAATTCAAGTTACACATTTTTTCCATAAATTTTGGTAATCTATTCCAAACAAAATTAGAAGTATGAATCATTCGAAAAATGATGGAATTATAACCATCAACCGTGAGTTTTGTTAGGATAATAGATCCTACAATCGTTCAGCTTTTAATTAACCGACCAAAGCTCAACAATTTTTCGATCTATTTATATTCTTCTCAGATACGAAATATTTACCATGAAAGCTTTGCAACATGAAAAATAGTTACGAATGTTATATGAACTAAAAAGAAGTCTAATCATTAGTTGGAAATAAAGAAAGATTTCCCAGGTTATTCACCTTCTTTTAGTTTTCATCAATTTTGATACACAAAGATAAAATCTATGTGTATTTATCATCAGGTGAGCCATGATCACTTCATTCCTGTACACAAATCTCATAGATAAATTTACGAGCACCTGTATCCAGCATGTTGCCACATAAACTGTATGTAGCATGACTGTGGTTATTGGTTATTATTCTATTTAAACAGTGTAACGAGTCCCAAGTAGGACGAAATGTGAGTCCTGGATTACTCTGCTAGTCATAATCAACCAAATTACCGTAATTAACATTCAGGCAATATAGAGGCATCCGCATAGGAGCCCATATGCCAATTGAGGACGAACAATTCAATCCAATAAAACAACGGAGAACCATAAGTATGTCAATAAATACTAATAACTACTACCTGTTGTACGAGAAGTGTCTATCGTTCTTCTGTGACATAGTAGGTAACGCTTGGCGTTTGAGGCGATGGGTACGAGGCTGGGGTACAGGTACATCCAGCTGACTAGTTCCAAACAGGACAAAACGCGTGTCCTGGATTACTGTACCAGGCACAATCAACCAAATTAGAGTGTTTAGGATGGGTAATTCTTTTTATCAAACACTTCGCTGATTGTAGCATTTTTAATCTAACGTGCTACATTAGGTTTATACAGCAACGTGGTGGATACCACTATTGAAATGTGTTGATTCTTCATAAGTGGTTATCTGCTTCAAACCAGTTTGTGAGTAGACACTTATGAGCAAGCCAAGTATTTCAGATAAGCTTCATATACCATTGGATATATTTATTTAAGAATGGCTGTAAAGACCACTAATCAGATTCCTATATTTCGGCTGTATAGGCAGTTTTATCACATAGTAAAGAAATGTGATTGGCAACTTCAGTGGCTGTTAGGATGGTTTTTGAAGTCACCCTAAGTTAATCAGGTTAATGAATATAATGATTGCTAAGTTCAGGTTTAAATGAATATTCTGTTTACCCTTCATCATATATGTAATACAAGTAGTATCAGCATATCCAATGTATACTCTAACAATGCTATGAACTGTTGTCTGTTACCAGTAGCCGGAAATTGTTTTAACATCATCATGCTTCTTATTCAAAGTTATATTTATTTTGAAAACAGGTATGTTTCAAGATATGAGAACATCCTTGTATTCATTTTGCTAAACTCGTATAATAAACTACTTATTTTAGTTAGTATGAATAAAATCCCTTCAAGACAACAAGCTGAATCATTTAAAAAGTTGAATTCAGTCCGAAAAATATTTGACGTGATGAAAATCTATTTGAAATCTAAGGTTTATGCTACCAAACAGCATTCATAATTTTTAAAAATAGAACATCATCTGACTTTAATCTGTTTATTTCTACGAGATAATGAACAACAAAACACACACGATATTTTATTTAAAAACAATCTGTTTAACTCTAAAGAATAGTCAACCTCTACATTGAGTAGTATAGCGTCAACTTTTCCTCAGTATCTTTGTTGTTGCCTGTGTAGTCCTAGCGAGCATCATCTGTATGATATAAATATCACCTTCATCATCCAGTCTCTGAAACTGGCTATTCGCTGATTACATAGAGGAAACTTTGGCTTACTCAGATTTTTCTGTTAAAAAAATGCCTACAAACATTTACATAGAAACCATGCAAGTGACACAGTCCCTTAATATTGACAGAAAACAGATTTGTGGGTAGATCCAGTAGACAAAAAATGTGATCAGAATAACCGGAATGGTTACAAACACGTACGTCCATTAGTGGGCCACTTCACTTAAGAAAAACAAGTTTGAAGCTATGAAATAAGTATACGAAAGGTTATCAAACTTCTGACTGGCAAGCCAAACTGTGTAAGGGGTTTCGAGCTGAACAATCGCTCAAATTGGAGATTGTCAGAGGTATTCAGTTACAGACTTTAATAACTCAAAGATCCTCATAGATTATTCAGAACAGGGGAAATTTAACCATCAGTTGTTTTCAGTAACTTCTTCTGCCTCGATCTCTACAGTTAGGAATCCAAGAGAATAAAATAAGCAAAGAAACAAACTCATTAAAGTAAAATTATTTCCATATCGAAACAGTCAGTGTTATAGGTGTTGGAAGGTGACCAAATTAAATGGATGTAAGTTTTCATCGGATTGAATGGTAATCAGTCTAGTGTGTTACTTGTATAATGAAATCAATGTGGAAAAACAAATTACTAAATAAGGCGACAAAATCTAAAGATAATGATTCATTTTACTTACATCTATCTGGGGCGTGTGTTTGTATGCTTCTTTACTAAGGGTCAAATAATAATGTCATATTCAAGTAGGGGGAAAACAGGTGAATGAAATGACGAAATAAAGAATAACAAATGTGGCACGTTTCGTTACAACTGAAAGTGACTACCAGTAGTGGTATGAATAGACAAGGACATAAAACTAATTACATTATCATCTAATGACAATGTAGAAGAAAGGAGTGGGATGTTAAAATGTGACATTTGTGGTGGGAAAGTTCACAAAGAACCTGTTGACCCCATTGTGGGCCATGGCATACAAAGTGGGTGTACATATTTCTTTTCAACTCATACATCAGGTTTTCTTGCGTCGATCCCTATGGTTTTGGCTATGGATAAGATGCGTAGTCATGCCCCTTGTAAGAGATTGCATGGGAAGCGATATATCACAGAAAGGGTGTGATCTACCTTGATCTGATGTCCACTATTGACTAGATACAAAAGGACTGCACTGTTGACTCACTTTGCCACTCCTTTTCCTAAACAAGCTGATATATGTTCACAAGCGTGCATGGATAGGGCTCTGGGAGCACAGCCTATGTCACTATCTCACCAGGAGCAGTTGAATTCATAGATGAACACTGAAGTGGCCATCATTGGTAGCCTATCCTTGGTTCTCTACATCACTTATGGTTTCGTTGAGAAACTGACAAAACATTTTGCTGTCATGAATGTCTTGTCGACTGATCTACTTAATCATCGTGTTAACATACCAGAGGCGGTATCACGTTAGAAACTTAGTGTAACATATAATGGCTTCTTAGCAATATTATTCTTCTTCATCTTCTCTCTAAGTCTCATCATGTAGTTACTTATGAAGTTTAGCTGATAACCATTTTGCTGTAATGTTATCTTTAGTTTATTCATTTCCCCTTCAATACAGTCATCAAAACATGTTTCTTATTCTGTAACTTATGCATTTGAACAGGTTTCTTTTACATTGAATTGGCGTGAGGCTGTAAGAATGTATACACTGACCAGTCCATATATTCTTTCCAAAATATTCCTATTATTAAATCCATCCGTCCTCCTGGTGAGGAGGACATCTAGGAGGAAAATACCACTCCTCTGTTTCTCCTCACATATCAGCTTCATAGCTGGGTGGGTATTATTCAAGGTATTCAAAAGATCTTCTTCGTTGGGTTGCTGTTACAAATGATGAATGTGTCACCTACATACCGGCAATAATACTCTAGTTTATCAAGTTTTTCCCAAAGTTGGGTTTTTTCAAGTTTGGCGAAGAAGATATTCTCTAGCATAGGATCAAGGGCACTTAAAGACATAGGCATTTCATTTCTTGTTGTGTATCATTAAAAGCTTACTTCCATGTATTCACTGACACTTTCTTTACATTTTGTTGTATTTCACCTTCATTCAAAGCCTAGAATATCTAACATTTATCTTGCATTCTTATTTGACTGAAGAAAGTTGAAATAAACTTTGACTTACTTGCATAAAAACCAATTAGCATTTAGATAGCAAGCCAGAGAAAGGTTTTTCTCAACTGTATGCATCATTTTTAGATTCTTATGCTTTTCGTTTTGTAGATATTAACAAATCACCTGAATTTGCTGCATATTACATTTATTTAATAATGAAAACTAGCATTTGTCCCACCGGGATTCGGACTCAAGACCGATTGCTGCAAACAATACAAGCAATGATACTAAAGTATACCCATCGCACAAGAGGGGGGCACCATGGCTCGGTGGTATAATGGACAACATCTTTGTGTTTGAAGCTATCAGTCCTAAGTCCGGTGGGAACAACACTATTCACTGGGATGCAGGTACGTCTAGCTGACGAGTCTCAAGTAGGACGAAATGCGCATCCTGGATTCCACTGCTAGTCACTATGTATCATTACCATAAATTTTCCTATCATCTACTTTTACATGCATGGTTTATAATTGTAAGAGATAGTCGAAAATTTATTGGTATCAAAATATAATTTATTGTACTCAGTAAATAGTTGTTGTACTTTGTATAAATGACATTCAGAGCACCAGTTCTGTCATTTTTACAACTTATCGTCGGTGGTGTAAATAAAAGTGAAATTTATGTTACTCAATTTAGATTTGAATAAGGTATCAAATTAATGTCTTAGCAGTGCCTTATAACTACAAAAATAACTTTCGAATACACCCATTTACTTGCTGAGAATTCTGTCTGGCAAGCATACAATGTAAAAGAAGAAACTGATAAAACATGAAACATCTGCCTTAGGTAAAGCATTTTATCTCAATAAAACTGGGGAGTTGTAATTTCAGTTTCATCTTGCTTAGCATAACATTCTAGTTGACAGAATGTGTTTTCTTTTTTCTAATGAAGTCTAATCACTGGCTTTTATCTTCACTGACATTTATTTGTTCATTTTAACTGACACTCGCTTGTCTGATTAAACTGAGTAAGCTTTACTTGCAGTCTGAGTCTCTAGAGAATAGAGTTAAAATTAGGTTATAAAGTGTTTCATAAATGTAACTGTAAAAGATTTATATAACTTTCTGATCCACAACGAAAAGACCAATATAGCCGCCTAATAAGCCAAATCAAACAAGAAAATGATCATTTTACGAAATAATAGTCAATCAAATTTCACTTTTTTAGCGCCCACAGTATTATTAGAAACAGTCCCATAGTTAAAGAATATACAATCTAATTTTAATAATCAGATCACAATGTAAATGGTTAAAATACTACTCATTAAGAGAAGTTTGAGCCTCCTTGTAACCAAACTGATAGTAGAACGCTTATTGTCACCATAAGTATTTCTCTGTTCCACTTCACACCGATTTGGCGTAAGAATCTGGCCTTCAGTCAACAAACAACCATAAGCGTATGTCTGGTCTTGTCAGAAAATCTGCAAGAGTGTTTATTACTTCGTTGAGCAAATTAGATTGGTACTTAAATATCATTGAAATCTGTCTTGCCTTCTTTTTAGCTGTAAGATGCCTCAATTTAAAAAAGTGAAGTTTTATTGATCTTGGTGATTAGCAGAGGAATCCAGGACGCGCATTTCATCCTGTTTGGGACTTGTCAGCTGGATGTACTTGCAACCCACTGAGTGATGTCGTTCCCACTGAGGCTAACTCCAAACGCCAGAGCATTATCCACTAAGCCACTGGAGTACGACAGCCACCTATTGTGCAACAGGCATCTGTTGTTGTAGCGATACTTGTAATTTCCGGTTGCTATACAGAAACGAATCGCTCGATCTTTGTTGGCAGATAGGCTCTTATTCTAGATTCCTCTGCCAGTCACCAAGATCAGTATAACATTATGGATATCCACCAGAATCTATGTATTCGCCTAGGAGGCCATCTGCCGACAGAGTTGGACCAATTCGGCTCTGTATAGCAACAGGAAATCACAAGTATCATTACAAAAAGTGAAATTTTATTTACAATTCAAACAAATATCTTCTTATCTAATATTACCTGGACTATAGTATCAGAGGACCTGAGGCTGGCTTTTTAGTTCACAGTAAAGGAAAATGATGAATAGAGTAACGTACCTTTTCTGTTTTAACCAACCTTTATAACAGATATTCAGTTCAATAATGTCGGAGTATTACAGATCCGTTTACTTCATAAATGAAGAAGGTAATAATACACAAAATCGGAATGCTTAAGCCGCTTGTTTCACTTATTATTCTTAGGCGTGCTGCTGACACCCTATGAAATTTGTTCCCAATGGACGGTAAACAGCATGTTAGGAGGTATCGCCGAAGAGGCATTACTCGAACAAATCATCCTTTCAACGTGGAACTCACTAACTAATTGTTAAGGACGGAACAAAATCTAAATACGTGATGAACTTGAGGAAAAATACTCAACGATGACATTAAATGATGGTCGCACTGTATTGTGAACTGACAGAAGTTGGAAATATGGATCACTGGATCCTTACCCAGTGGCTCAACGGTAACATGTTACCCATGGAACCTAACGGTCCTGGATTCGATCCCTGAAGGGCGAAGTCATGGGTGCACACTTCTGAGAAGTCTCATAATAAGACGAAACAGCTGTCCAGTGCTCCCAAG